AATGACCATTTTGTCTCTGTTTACGCTTCAGAGTTGAGAGAGACATGTTTTAGAGTTGCCATCATAGGACCACCGTTACTAGCACCACTAGATGCACTTTCAAAAAACGTGCTGCGTTGTGGTTTAGTGGTTTCTATGCAACGCGGAGTGTTGCGTTCATGGTCTGTACTAGTGTAGGAATTTGGCTACGGGAGGCTGGGCCACTCGGGAGTTGGTTCTGGGCCGCCAGATGAATAGGCCTGCTGTAGGGAGTAAAACTCTAACACAGAGTCTGTGCTGCCCCAGAACGCCCCGTTGGACATTTCTCTTTTTCCATTGTTTGCTTCCTGAGTTCTGTGACATTTGAAAACCCAGATCAACAACAAAGGACCGGATTGGCCCAAATGGACCAATCCGCAGAGTGCCTCACACACCAGGATCCCTTGGCTAACTAACAGGGAGCCCCATTGACTTGCATAGAGCTCCCTGGTTGGTAATAGACGAGTTGGGATGGTGGAGGAATGCTCTCCGCAGACCCATTCTCACAGCGCTATAAACCTGTTTCTTTCTCAATATCAAGCCACACTTATTGTTTTTACTTCGGCTGTGAGTGTTTGTGTGCTCAGGATGAGTTTAGCTTGTTCTCGCTGTATCGCCGACCCGGAAACCTGTCCGCTCCTCGCAGCAGCAACGAGCCTCGCAACGTCCCGACCAATCAGAGCACACTGGGCTCACAGGGAGGGGGGGGGGGGGGGCAGGAGCTCCAATAAGCCGTGTAGGACAGAGAGTGAATACACAGACTATACAGAGATGCTGTGAGAAACTAATGTGAGTTTGGAACATTGAACAATGTGAATCTATTCCAGTAGACCTCAACAATGGAACTATGATCAGTAGAAATGGCAGGACCTTTAATTACGGCCGCTCTGAGGCTAAACTTCGCTCATTGTTGCGACGCGTATAAATAATGAAGTCTGTGATGAACTCGACGTTTTAAGGATATTTAATATTGTAAATCAAAACAGAATCATACGGTCAACAAAAGATATCAGCGCTAAGCTCACCCCCATTGTCATGCTACCAAACCTCCACACACACCAGGTGCCCTAAATACCATGAACCACACCATGTGACAATCACCAGAAACAACCCATTACACGTGTGTGAGGTGTTCACACATGATGAGGATAATGTGACTATAAACGCAGGCGACCACAGCATTTGGGCTCCGACACTTACCATTAAAAAAAAGGGCTGCTGCTTCTAACTGTGCATGACTCTCTGGGTTCATCCAGCCACTAAATGGACCTGACGAAGCTAAAGGAGTGAAGGATAGTTTGTTAACATTCAGCAGAACTTGTTTTTGAGTTCTAGTTCCTATATTATTTATCATAGATTTTGTGTTTTTCAGACTGGAAAACTAATTCTAAATCCAACAGTATCATCCCCTGTCATGCAACGCTGAAGATTGAATTGTATTTTTCTATTTTTGGGGGTGAAACTATTCTGAATGTAACTCCAAATACACTTGCTTTCTGAATTATGAAGTTTTTATATCTGGTAAAATAACTGTTATTGAAGAAGATGTAAATAAACCTATTAATAAGTGTTAAAGCCAAGTTTAAAGAGGCCCTATTCTGCTTTTGGGGGTTTTCCCCTCCTGTCGTGTGTTATAAAGGTTTTTGTGCAAGTGGTCTGCAAACGCTAAAATCCCAGCGCTCCAACCATAGGCAAAGGGGCGGGACATCTCTAAGAGGTTGACCAATCACAACAGAGCAGGAGAGGACTCTTTAAAGTAGAGACACTACATACTGATATACACCTGAACATCAGCAGGAGAGGACTCTTTAAAGTAGAGACACTACATACTGATATACACCTGAACATCAGCAGGAGAGGACTCTTTAAAGTAGAGACACTACATACTGATATACACCTGAACATCAGCAGGAGAGGACTCTTTAAAGTAGAGACACTACATACTGATATACACCTGAACATCAGCAGGAGAGGACTCTTTAAAGTAGAGACACTACATACTGATATACACCTAAACATCAGCAGGAGAGGACTCTTTAAAGTAGAGACACTACATACTGATATACACCTGAACATCAGCAGGAGAGGACTCTTTAAAAGTAGAGACACTACATACTGATATACACCTGAACATCAGCAGGAAAGGACTCTTTAAAAGTAGAGACACTACATACTGATATACACCTGAACATCAGCAGGAGAGGACTCTTTAAAGTAGAGACACTACATACTGATATACACCTGAACATCAGCAGGAGAGGACTCTTTAAAGTAGAGACACTACATACTGATATACACCTGAACATCAGCAGGAGAGGACTCTTTAAAGTAGAGACACTACATACTGATATACACCTGAACATCAGCAGGAGAGGACTCTTTAAAGTAGAGACACTACATACTGATATACACCTGAACATCAGCTGGAGAGGACTCTTTAAAGTAGAGACACTACATACTGATATACACCTGAACATCAGCAGGAGAGGACTCTTTAAAGTAGAGACACTACATACTGATATACACCTGAACATCAGCAGGAGAGGACTCTTTAAAGTAGAGACACTACATACTGATATACACCTGAACATCAGCAGGAGAGGACTCTTTAAAGTAGAGACACTACATACTGATATACACCTGAACATCAGCAGGAGAGGACTCTTTAAAGTAGAGACACTACATACTGATATACACCTGAGCATCAGCAGGAGAGGACTCTTTAAAGTAGAGACACTACATACTGATATACACCTAAAACATCAGCAGGAGAGGACTCTTTAAAGTAGAGACACTACATACTGATATACACCTGAACATCAGCAGGAGAGGACTCTTTAAAGTAGAGACACTACACACTGATATACACCTGAACATCAGCAGGAGAGGACTCTTTAAAGTAGAGACACTACATACTGATATACACCTGAACATCAGCAGGAGAGGACTCTTTAAAGTAGAGACACTACATGCTGATATACACCTGAACATCAGCAGGAGAGGACTCTTTAAAGTAGAGACACTACATACTGATATACACCTGAACATCAGCAGGAGAGGACTCTTTAAAGTAGAGACACTACATACTGATATACACCTGAACATCAGCAGGAGAGGACTCTTTAAAGTAGAGACACTACATACTGATATACACCTGAACATCAGCAGGAGAGGACTCTTTAAAGTAGAGACACTACATACTGATATACACCTGAACATCAGCAGGAGAGGACTATTTAAAGTAGAGATACTACATACTGATATACACCTGAACATCAGCAGGAGAGGACTCTTTAAGTAGAGACACTACATACTGATATACACCTGAACATCAGCTGGAGAGGACTCTTTAAAGTAGAGACACTACATACTGATATACACCTGAACATCAGCAGGAGAGGACTCTTTAAAGTAGAGACACTACATACTGATATACACCTGAACATCAGCAGGAGAGGACTATTTAAAGTAGAGACACTACATACTGATATACACCTGAACATCAGCAGGAGAGGGACTCTTAAAGTAGAGACACTACATACTGATATACACCTGAACATCAGCAGGAGAGGACTCTTTAAAGTAGAGACACTACATACTGATATACACCTGAACATCAGCAGGAGAGGACTCTTTAAAGTAGAGACACTACATACTGATATACACCTGAACATCAGCAGGAGAGGACTCTTTAAAGTAGATGATAGACACTACCTACTGATATACACCTGAACATCAGCAGGAGAGGACTCTTTAAAGTAGAGACACTACATACTGATATACACCTGAACATCAGCAGGAGAGGACTCTTTAAAGTAGAGACACTACATACTGATATACACCTGAACATCAGCAGGAGAGGACTCTTTAAAGTAGAGACACTACATACTGATATACACCTGAACATCAGCAGGAGAGGACTCCTACTTCTTCGGTTACTACAGAGCTGTAATTCTCAGGATTAAAACACCATTTAGAAACAGTGAATGTTGTGGGTCAGTTTCTCTGGTTTCAGATCTGCATTTATTTAAGCTGTGTGGTTAAGGAGCAGCAGCTGTGATTCATCGGTGGAAACAGGATGTGAAACGAAATGGGAAGTGAGAGGAAAGAGTGATGAAGAATTTCACGAGAAACGTTTGGTTTCATCAAAAAACCCACTTCATCGAGTCAGGGTTGTCCTGAGGAAAGGTCGTTCAAATATAAACGGTATATCCTCTGGAGAGCAGGAACAAGTTCATGACATTTACATGTAAGGAAGTGTGCTTTTTAATTAGTTTGTATTTCTTCAATTAATGCAGCTACTACTACACTGCTATACTTTATGGGATGTTGTGGTCTTTTACTGCTGCCAATTTACATTTTCTACTGCCATTTCTACATTTTATTTGTGTATTAGAGTGTAAGTACGAGTAAATAGTGTACCGTGACTGCATATAATAAGATGCAGATTCTGTCGTATCAGGTCTCTATCAAATGTATAATTATATTAATACACCAAGTATGTTTTTAAACGTGTATATGTCCCGGTTTGTTTCCTGAGTTTAAACTCTGCTCTTAAACTGATGAAGATCTGTTCGGCTATTTCTGACTGCATACAATATGAGGAAGTGAAAGAATCTCAAGGACTTTTGTACAACACTAAAGGACACACACACACACACACACACACACACACACACACACCACACACACACACACACACACACACCACACACACACACACACACCACACACACACACACACACACCACACACACACACACACACACACACACACACACACACACACACACACACACACACACACACACACACACACACACACACACACACACACACACACACACACACACACACACACACCCACACACACACACACACACACACACACACACACACACACACACCACACCACACACACACACACACCACACACACACACACACACACACACACCACACACACACACACACACTCATTACCTCTGCTGATGCGTTGTTTCTCTCCAGACAGGATGCCAGGAGTGTCGATGATGCTGATGCTCTGGAGAACCTGATTGGGCATCTGAGAGCAGATAAACCTAAACACACACACACACACACACACACACACACACACACACACACAATGAATATTTATGTATCAATATCATAACTATTTATTCATTTGTAAATCTGTACTTGAGAGCTCTTAAATCTCACAACAACATCAATCAAAGGAGTAAAAACACATGAATGGAAATCCTCATTAGTTTCCAGCTTTGTTTCAAATGAATCTGAAGGGTTGTGAAGTTTGACCCAAGAGATCATCATAAACAATAATCTATATAATCTTCGTTAACGTTATCACTTCCTCTGGAAACACTACCTGAAAACCATAACAACGTACGACATTTTTAAAGAAGAGCAGAAGAAGAATGTCCGTAACCCTGTTTTTACATTTGTTAATTAGTCAAATACATCTTTTCTGTGAGAGATGGAAAAGTCATCTCATCACACTGTTGCATCTTTTGTGTATGTCTCGCATGAAGTATATATATATTTTTATATTATAATCTTAGCGTCTGAGTCCATTAGTCGTGACGTCACCTTGTGTTTAGTTTCGTCACAGATCAGCGCTCTCCGATTGATTTATTATTCATGTCTCCGCTCGCTCCATTGTTTCAGGCAGGAAGGATCCGGGTTGTTCTTCAGACGCGGAGCTCAGCGTGTGTTGAGTAATAAACCGAGTGATCACAGTGTGTGTGTGTGTGTGTGTGTGTGTGTGTGTGTGTGTGTGTGTGTGTGTGTGTGTGTGTGTGTGTGTGTGTGTGTGCGTGCGCATCTGGAGGATTTATTGCCTGGTTGTGGTGCTACATGAGAAGTTTGGAGGTCATCAAATATTCATGTAATAAACCATTGTTGCAATATAATATAATATTATATTATTAACCTGGTGATTTTTGAAAAACAATATTTTTGACACTTTAAATATAAATAAAAATAGAATCTAAGTTAGAACCCCTTACGGTGCATTTACACATATTAAAAAATACCTTTAAAAAACATATAAGATAAATACAAATAAGAATATTCAAAAAGTATTATTAAGTATGCATTTAAAGAACAACAAATAATTTAAAATACATATTTGATGTGACCTTATCTAAACAGAGAGGGAGATTTTGCATTGAGAAATTAAATGAAAATATTTAAACAATATATTTCAAAGTTTTGAATCGAAAAATAAAAAAAATATCATGATGTTTTTTTATTGGTATAAAAAAAAATACCCAGTGTGTGTGTGTGTGTGTGTGTGTGTATGCGTGTGTGTGTGTGTGTGTGTGTGTGTGTGTGTGTGTGCGCTCGTGCGTGTGTGTGAGACCTCTCTGTCACCTCTTCAATATTTTTAAGTTTTAAAGTTAAATTTAGCAGAAGACCTGAGCAGCGGGGAAAAAACAGAGCGGCCGCGCCAACACGTGGTGACGCACACACACTTCCCCCTGGAAACAATAAGTGATTGTGGTTCCTCCATCTCACCGGGACAAGGTGGGATTCCTAGTTTTAGGAATGCTTTAACTAGGAAACACGTCAGAACACTTACAAGTTAACACACACACATTTCGAGGGTCGACTGTCCACTTCCTGCTGCCACTCTAAGAAATATTTCTGGACTGAGGAAATAGGTTTGGACCGGAGAGTTTTAGCTAAATATAAAACCTCGCTATGAACTTCAAGAGTGTGTGTGTGTGTGTGTTTACATGTCAGTTAGGAGTGGAGAGGCCATTTCCAGGGTGGTGAATGTTTTGAGGAAAGCAGTGACAGGAGTGTGAAAGGCTGCCAGAATCTAAAAGTGTGTGTGTGGAGAGACATCGGTCTAAAAGAGATTCAGGACGTTTTTTAAAGATCAACAAAAGAGGGATGTCAAAAAACTGTCAGAGACTAAAGATTACTTTGTTTTATGAAAATTCTACGGATTAGTTTAGCATTTTGATTTCCCAGAGAGCATGGGGTTATCTTCCAATTGTTGTTTTGGTTTGCGAAACCAAAAAGGTATTCAGGGGTTTATTGTTAGCTGAAGAACATCAGAGCGTCTTCACATATTAGAAGTCCTTTCCACCTGTGTTTACCTGTTGAGGAAGGAGTTTCCGAACGCGTTGAGCTTCCTGAAGGGTTTGTTGGGGTCGACCACCAGAGCGTTGCCGGGGACGATGCCCTCGTTCTCACCGTACATCACGGCGATGAAGCCGTCCGTGGTCGGCTCCGGACCGATCCGCATCCCGGGGAAATCCTGCTCCAACAGATACCTGGAGAGAGAGGGTGAAATAGGAGAGGACTCTTTAAAGTAGAGACACTACATACTGATATACACCTGAACATCAGCAGGAGAGGACTCTTTAAAGTAGAGACACTACATACTGATATACACCTGAACATCAGCAGGAGAGGACTCTTAAAGTAGAGACACTACATACTGATATACACCTGAACATCAGCAGGAGAGGACTCTTTAAAGTAGAGACACTACATACTGATATACACCTGAACATCAGCAGGAGAGGACTCTTTAAAGTAGAGACACTACATACTGATATACACCTGAACATCAGCAGGAGAGGGACTCTTTAAAGTAGAGACACTACACACTGATATACACCTGAACATCAGCAGGAGAGGACTCTTTAAAGCTAGAGACACTACATACTGATATACACCTGAACATCAGCAGGAGAGGACTCTTAAAGTAGAGACACTACATACTGATATACACCTGAACATCAGCAGGAGAGGACTCTTTAAGTAGAGACAACTACATACTGATATACACCTGAACATCAGCAGGAGAGGACTCTTTAAAGTAGAGACACTACATACTGATATACACCTGAACATCACAGGAGAGGACTCTTTAAAGTAGAGACACTACTACTGATATACACCTGAACATCAGCAGGAGAGGACTCTTTAAAGTAGAGACACTACATACTGATATACACCTGAACATCAGCAGGAGAGGACTCTTTAAAGTAGAGACACTACATACTGATATACACCTGAACATCAGCAGGAGAGGACTCTTTAAAGTAGAGACACTACATACTGATATACACCTGAACATCACAGGAGAGGACTCTTTAAAGTAGAGACACTACATACTGATATACACCCTGAACATCAGCAGGAGAGGACTCTTTAAAGTAGAGACACTACAATACTGATATACACCTGAACATCAGCAGGAGAGGACTCTTTAAAGTAGAGACACTACATACTGATATACACCTGAACATCAGCAGGAGAGGACTCTTTAAAGTAGAGACACTACATACTGATATACACCTGAACATCAGCAGAGAGGACTCTTTAAAGTAGAGACACTACATACTGATATACACCTGAACATCAGCAGGAGAGGACTCTTTAAAGTAGAGACACTACATACTGATATACACCTGAACATCAGCAGGAGAGGACTCTTTAAAGTAGAGACACTACATACTGATATACACCTGAACATCAGCAGGAGAGGACTCTTTAAAGTAGAGACACTACATACTGACATACACCTGAACATCAGCAGGAGAAGACTCTTTAAAGTAGAATACTACAACACTGATATACACCTGAACATCAGCAGGAGAGGACTCTTTAAAGTAGAGACACTACACTGATATACACCTGAACATCAGCAGGAGAGGACTCTTTAAAGTAGAGACACTACATACTGATATACACCTGAACCATCAGCAGGGAGAGGACTCTTTAAAGTAGAGACAAACTAGCATACTGATATACACTGAACATCAGCAGGAGAGGACTCTTTAAAGTAGAGACACTACATACGATTCCAACACCTGCCATCATAGAAGGACTCCTTTTAAATTACACTACTATCCTGAACATCGAGGAGAGGACTCTTAAAGGAGAGACACTACATACTGATATACACCTGACATCAATCAAGGAGAGGAACTCTTTAAAGTAAGAGCACTACATACTGATATACACCTGAACATACATCAGGAGAGAGGAACGCTTTAAAGTAGAGGGACACTAGCATACTGATATACACCTGAACATCAGCAGGAGAGGACTCTTTAACAGTAGAAGACCTACATACTGATATACACCTGAAACATCAGCAGGAAGAGGACTCTTTAAAAATAGTAGAGACACTACATACTGATATACAACCTGAACATCAGCAGGAGAGGGCATACTCTTTAAAAAGTAGAGACACTTACAATACTGATATACACCTGAACATCAGCAGGAGAGGACTCTTTAAAGTAGAGACACTACATACTGATATACACCTGAACATCAGCAGGAGAGGACTCTTTAAAGTAGAGACACTACATACTGATATACACCTGAACATCAGCAGGAGAGGACTCTTTAAAGTAGAGACACTACATACTGATATACACCATGAAAAAGCATGGTCAGGTTAACCAGGGCTGATGCAGACTTCCTGTTTGGGGGTTTATTAACTCCCACTCCCCACTAGTTGGTTAAAGAAGGCACCTAATGCTCTAATCCCTCCATGAAACGAGCAAACGTAGTGGAATCTGGGATTGTTTTGGCATTTGGCTTCAGTCCGTCTCCTCTAACCTTCCTCCAGCTCACACTACATTTTCCCACGTATCCTTTCATCTTCACAGGGACCTCGTGCCTCCTCACAGAAAAGTGAGAAAGGAAGGAAGAGACGGAGGAGGGCAGCAGTGTCTCTCACTTCCTGTTGTTGCAGCCATCAAAGAGAGGAACCACCACAGAGAGAGAGATATACCATTATTAACATGTTTTCACTGAGCTGCTGATCCTGGAGGATTTTCACTTCTGTTATCAGTTTGGGGAATGATCACCAGATGCTGCTGGGCGTATGACTCACTGAGAAGTTAGTGTATCTACTGGTGATAAAGCATCACCTTCAGAAACAGATTTAGATTGAAGAACAGCCTCCTTTCCTGCATGCTTTTTGGGGTTTCCTGTGGTGTGATATATAGGTTTTTGTGAATGTAAATGGTCTGCAAAGACTACAATCCCTTCTATTCTTCTATTGGCTAGCGCTCCAACACAGTACACGTGATAAGGGGTGGGACATCTCTAAGAGGTTAACCAATCACAGCTTCACTGAGCTGCTGATCCAGGAGGATTTCCACTGCTGTTATCAGCTGTTGTTGGGGAACTATCACCAGATGACTGAACTCTACTCCTTAAGGGGCCACTGTGACATTACTTCCACCACGTTATAAAAAGTCACCAGAAATCAGATTGTATGTACTTTATAAATCCTTATTTGGGAAATTGAAAAAGGAAAAACACAGAATAAGTTAGAATACACTGAAAAAGACCAAGTTACTACTAGAATCAAATATGTAAACATAGGATACTAAAATACATACTTTATGCACGTGTGCAAGTTGCAGTTTTTTTAGCACTAATGCTACTTTAGCAACACCCAGAGGTCATGCAGGCATTTCTAGAGTCTCTCTGAGCTCTAGCTCCGAAGGGTCGATTGATATGAAGTGTTCATTTGACTTTTAAAACTTGCTGGGAGGATTCTTTCCATAAGAATGTGTCCAGGTGCACGTTTACACCTGAGTTGATCCTAATCCAGATAATCCAGACCGTGCTATGGCCTGTTCTTTAGAAACAATACCTCTACTGGTTTCACTTCATCTCGAAGAAGAAGAAGAATAAATTATGTCGAATCTGCAATTTGCTGGCAATTTTACTTCCCATGATTCATTGCATTCTTCTCAGTTTCCATGATTCATAGCATTCCTCAGGGCAGGGTGTGGGGCCTAAGTAGTGGAAGTTGGAACACACACACACACTCACACACTCACACGAGCTTTAGCAACAATTAGTCTGCAGCTTGTGTTGGACGTAAACTGATTGAAGGTCAGTTCTGCTTTGCTCGTTTGCTGCCAAAACTGTTTGTACCTGATACGTATGCAAACACACACACAACACAGACACACACACACACACACACAGACACACACACACACACACACACGACACACCACACACGAACCGATCACCACACACAGACACAACACACCACACACACAACACACCCACACACCACACCACACACACACACACACACACACACACACACCACACACACCAA